ACAGGATTTGTGGCCAGGGATTTGCATCCACTGGGCAGAGGACAGGCTTGCCCAAAAGTCCAACCCAGTTCCCCTGGGATGAGGAGCCTCAAAGGTCTCCCACCCCAGAATGGCTTTGAGCTGATCTAGAGGGCCAGAGAGAGCTCTGCTGAGGGAGCCTGTCTGGGGCTCTTGGATTTGCTGTCTATGGGGCAGGCAACTCATTAGATCTTCACGTCTCATTAGAACTCCAGGGCCCGCCTGCTGCGCAGACTGAGGGTTCCCGCCTTCTGTGTTGCTGCTAGCGCAGAGATCCTATCAGCTCTTCTCCTTTGGTTCAATGACTAATTCCTTGGCACTGTCCTCAGATCATTAAAGAATGTGGACAAGTTAAAATGCGAACCACGTTGTCGTAGGTTTGCATCATGCTTCTCCTGAACAAGGGAGGTATGGGCCCTTTGACCCATGCTCTGGGCTACCTCTTTTTTTTTTTTTTTTGGAGAGATTTTCACTGTAGGGCGCGTGCGCTCGCCAGACAGACAGAGAGAGACATAGAGACAGAAAGCGAGAAATCACCCCCCAGGGGGGATGGTCACGCCGCAATCCCTTCTCCTCCATTCTCCTCTTGGGATCTTGGGCACGCACGCACACGCGCCCGGCGTGAGTTTTAAGCCACCGGGTCCGGGACACGAACCGCGGTCGACTACGTGGGAGTCCAGCGACATAGCCATTACGCTAACTGCTGGTTCCCTGGGCTACCTCTTTTGAGGGATAGAGTGGGGTGAGGGAGGTGGGGCTGCCCTCACTGCCATCCTGACCTGAGAGGTCTTGGCTGGACAGACTTTGAACCCCAGCCTGGGCTGAGTGCTTGTTGTTTAGGGTATCTGCATGAGACCAGGAGGGAGTTCTTACATCCCTAGGCCAACAGGGACGACTCTTCCAGGTAGACCAGGGCTGGTCATCTGAAAGAGAGGGGATCAGCGAGACTCAAAAGGTGGGCAGACTGGTACCTGTGCCAGGTGGTGGGAGGGGCTAGCTCACATCTTGTTCCAAGCAGCCGCACCAGACTGTAGCTGTCTTGTCATCCATCACATCCACCTTCACCATGCATGCATTCATTCATTCATTCATTCATTCATTAGCAAACCTTGAGCAACCACAGTCATGAGGACTTATTAAACATCCAGTTCAGAATCAAACAATAGAAACAGAATGTGAGTCATGTCTATACGTTTTTATACAGTCACATTCAAAAGATGGAAAGAAACTGGTGGAGGTGATTTACTAATTGATTTCTTTTTCTTTTTCTTTTTTTTTTGGGGGGGGGGTGTTGCTATAGGGCACATGCGCTCACCAGAAAGACAGAGAGATAGAAAGTGAGAAATCACCCCCCAGGGGGGATGGCCATGCCGCAATCCCTTCTCCTCCTTTCTCCTCTCAGGATCATGGGCATGCACGCCCACGTACCCGGCGTGAGTTTAAGCCACCAGGTCTGGGACTCGAACCATGGTCAAGTACATGGGAGTCCAGCGACATAGCCATTATGCTAACTGCTGGTCCCTACTAATTGATTGATTTACTCAGGACTGTGAATGTTTTTGCATGCAGTCATGAAATTAGGAGTGAAGTGTTCTACCTGCTTTCCATGACACTAAGTCGTAGGGCTTGGAGTACGCCTGTACATACAAGCTCTGTGCCCTGTGTGGCCAATGGCTGCTGTGCCAAGTGCACCCACAGGACATGGCTCAGACTTTCAAGCTCCTCTCTAAGATCACAAACCCTAGAAACAGAAACTCCTTCACCAGGGAATTAAGAGCAGCTCCAGCCAAAGGGAGGTGCTGTGCCGGCTTCCATTTTGGTTTCTTGTGTCCTGAGGCTCACAGTCCAGTAGAAGAGACAAACTTAAGGGGGCACACAGGCAAAACCCTTCCAGACAAGGGCCGAATGATGTTTGAATTCACCTGGGTGTGGAGGGACTGCTCCTGTGTGGCCGGGGCCAGGAACAGTGACTCCTGAATGGACCCTGGGCAGTTGAGAAGGAGTCATGACAAGACCAGAGTGGAGGCTTCCAGGTAGGGAGGTGGGGTTGGGCCAGAAGCATTGGCAGGAAGCTGGGGATCTTGGAGGCCCTCTGGGCAGTGTTGAAGTGCCTGGGAGTCAGGGGATCTTCGGGACAGGGCTCTACAGTGTTTTTCCATGCCCACTGGTGGGCTCTGGAGTCCTATGAAGAACCTGTGGCACAAGAAATGAGGCATGTTGTGGAGAGTCCAACAGTACAGCCGAAGGTGGCATCAGAGGTGTGGCAAGGTGGGCAGGATCTGTCCTGTAGGGGGACTCTGTCTCATGGACAGACAGGTTCACAGGGTTATGCCCTAAGGCTCACCTGAGGGTTCCATATGATGGCAGTTTCAGCCAGGGCTTGGTGACAAGGCCCTTGAAGCCGAGCCAATGTGCCTGTCCCCAAGGGGAGGGCTTAGTCGCAGCCAGTGGCTCAGCCCTACAGCAGGACTAAGCTCTATTCTGGGTGTCCTTGAAGAACAAGCCACTTGTCACTTCTTTGGCCCCAGTCATCACCTGGGCAGAGCTTTCCCCATAGTAGGCAGCCTTCAGTGAAGGACTCTTCCTCCTGACTTGCCTGGTATCTATTTTCCATCCGATGCACGGCCTGGCCATGGTGTCAAAGGCAGAGCTGAGTTGCACATACAGTCAGTGGGTGGGCAGGCTGGCAGTGTTCTCTGGGGGTGTCCAAATAGCTGGACCAACCCCAGGGCCAGCAGGGAACCTGGGTTGGAGGCAGTGGCCTGTGGACCCTTGTCATGGCTGGGGGGGGGGCCTTGTGTTTTTAAGCCAACCATATTTTGATGGGGAAAGACTGAGGTGCAGGAAGGGGAGGGCTGAGCACTGAAGTGAGACCTGTCTCCAAGTGACCCGGCTCCCAGCCCCCTTGTCAGAGACCTAGGGATGTACTTATGTGATTTTAGTTCAGAAGAGGCAGGCTGGGAAGGGGAAGAGTTGCCCGGCTCTGCCTCTGTCCCCCACAGCAATCCCAGTTCACCATCTCCATCTGTCCCTGGAGTTCCCGGCTCACTTCCCAGCTGAGCCTGGTCTTCCATGCCAATGCTAGGGCCACTGCACCACCTGGCCAAGTTATTTTACCCTCTCCAGGTCTCCAGGGTGAATAGCAGTGCCCCCCTCAGTCTTGTAGAGATGACTAAATGAGTTTAGATGTGTCAAACTTGGGAACATTCCTGAAACAAAAATAGAACTATCTCACTATCTACAATCAGAAGCCCATTCTGACCAATGTCAGCCACATTAGCCTCCAAAACTGGCTTTCTGATGGAAGCCGGCAGGTTTGTAAGGAGAGTCCCCCTCTGCAGCCCTCACGCTGAGGTCTTCTGTGCCCTGAATTCAAGACACAAAAATGAGAGCCAGCACCACCTCTCCTTTTGGCTGGGGACTCCCTTAATTTCCTGGCAGAGGAGTTCCTGTTCCTAGGGTTTGTGACCCTAGGGAGTGGCTCAGAGGTCAGGGCCAGGGAGAGAATTCTGCCAACAAGGGGTGGGGGGAGTCCTAGGGAGAGGTGGGCTACCAGCCCTGCTGGAAGCTTCTCTGGCCCCTGAGTGGAACGGCCTTTCTAATGTAAATGAGGCCACCTAACCTAAGCCATTTGAAAGTGGCTATTTAGGTCTCTGGGGGCTATTGGGACATTTGGCTCAGCCACTGACCTGAATCTTCACCCCTGTCCCACCAGGTAGATGGGTGGATCTAGGGGCTAGGTCTGGTTGCAGGGACTCACAGTCACCCCATGCACCAGAGCTATGCTACCCTCCCCCGCTTCTCCCCACCCACCACCCACCCCACCCC